GTGTGTGTGTTTGTGTGTCGGAGGGGCGGGGGTAATGGAAAGGAATAGAATCAGCAATACGCTGAATATCACATTGCATGTATAAAATTATAGATAAGGACGGAGAAAAATAATTTGAATATAAAAATATTTATCACTTGGAATCGTACCAATTTCACGTAAACAGCAGTTTCTCACAGTATACCATGTCATTTGTTTTTACGTTGGTGGAGCGTTGTGTGTTGAGTATTGCAGATTTGGGAGATAAAAATAATACCACAAAAGGTTTTTATTATAATACTACTGTCCAAAAACTCTTCATGCAGCTAATGTTCAGAAATTCGCAAATACAGATAAGTGACAGGAACAATCCCCCCCTTCTCCCCAACCCATAACCACCCCCTGTAAAAAAAAACTTCATAAAAAACAACCAACAAACAACAACAACAATCCTCCCCCCACTAAAACAAAAACCAAATAAAAAAACCCAACCCCAGCCCCCCCCCCCCTAAAAAACCAACAAACAAAACCAACAACAATGACAGCTCCCAACAAAACAACAACAACAACAACAACAACAACAACAACAACAACAACAACAACAACAACAACAACAACAACAACAACAACAACAACAGCAACAACAACAGCAACAACAAAACCAACCCCAACCCCCCCCCCCCCCCCTAAAACCCTTTAAAAAACACCAACACAAAACCCCCAACAAACAACAACCCCCAACAAAACAACAACAACAACCATTCAGCTAAAACCGTGCCAAGTTCTTTTCTCCATACACTGCATTAGGCGTGTAAATAAAAGGAATGCTGGTAAAGCTCAAAGCTCTGAACTTTCAAATATTACAATGCATGATGGCTTTTGATAGTGAGCGAGAACAACACGTACGTGGAAGAAGCTGCTGCGGGTAAGGGTAGCTCGCTTGATAAAGCACATTGCGGTATTACTGAAATATTATTATTTATTGCTGCGTAGCTCCATAATAAGTTTGTTTCGAAAACCACCTTCTCACATAATATTATTATTGTTCTTGGGATTTCGTGGGAATACGATAAAAATTAAAAGCAAACTTTCGGTAAAATATATTAAGGAGTGTTGATATACCCGAACTGCGCACATCAAAATGTTTGTCATGAATGTGGGTCTTATCTTCAGGGGAAACATGATGTTTCTGTTCTGATTGTTTTATGACTCAATTCTCCAGGTAATTTAGATGATTTAGAAGGCGGGCTGCTTCGACCCTACCTGTCAGGGCCAGCCATCCCAAGTTGACGTGGGATTCAATAAAATAGACTTTCAAACCAGGGAATTGGATTCATATATTTTTGTTTGGGTTGGGTTTTTTTTTGTTGGGGGGGGGGGGCGTGCATAAGCGAAGAACCTTACTATCACAACACACACTCTAGCATGCCTTTTCTGCAGTGTCAGCAATTTCCATAACCACAACAAGGTGGTTTTTATGTTTATACATATTTTAATCACATGCATCTCTGATTTGGTATCCAGTAAACGTCATCGATAAGCAACGCAAGAAGAAAAAGACAACATAGGATGCAGCGCTTTTGGAATACAGTCAGTATGCAATAATCTTCAGGAGAAATGTCGGTACCTTAGAAATACAAAGTTCTATATGATATGTTTTGGCCGTGTTCAGTTACTGAGACCCCGAGGTCAGAAACCCAAAGTTCTGTCTGTTCTATCAAAATTGTAAGATAATTCGGAGTTGTTATCAAGATATTCAAAAAATTGCTCTCGAAAAAGCTTGACATGTTGTGAAACTCAACATTTTGAAAGTTAAATTACTCAAAACTAGGTACTGAGCAGAAAGAACTTTGCAATTCCAGGGTAGCGATTTGCTGATGTCTGTCTGTCTGTCTGTCCTTTGTTCTCTTCTTGTGTCAGTGCTGATCCGATTGAGCTTTGTCGAAGGCAATGTAATCAAAAGAGTTGCATTAGTTTGATTTACATCAGTTCACCCGTGGTAACTACAGACATAAAAACCAATAATGAGGGGTTTGTACCCCTTCTAGGTTTAATCCCACCACCTCTCTCTCTCTCTCTCTTTTCTCTCTCTCTCTTTTCTCTCTCTCTCTCCCTCTCTCTCTTTCGTTCTCTCTCTCTTTCGTTCTCTCTCTCTTTCGTTCTCTCTCTCTGTCTGTCTGTCTGTCTGTCTGTCTGTCTGTCTGTCTGTCTGTCTGTCTGTCTCTCTCTCTCTCTCTCTCTCTCTCTCTCTTCTTTCTAAATAGCATAACGCCTCTAGTATAACTACCGGACAGCAGGTAGGAAAAGGATCACACAGTCTAGATTATGTCTGCTATTCACATCATTATTAACATCTGTCATGGTGATTTAAGAAAAAATGTATTTGTCCCCTCCCTCAAATCTCACATACAACAGCTCCATGGTTTTTATCCCTGATGTAGCAACATTGTAATTATATTATTATCTCATTTGCATTGCAAAGTGCCGCATTTCAAGTATAACAAATACATTTTATAAAATGCATTATTTAGCAATAGGCTATATAGTACGCTGCACGCCTGCTGAGAACACTCTCAAAATCACACAGTGAAGTTACACCAATAATATTTTGTGATCATCTAATAAATATAGTGAATATAATGCCTTCACTTTAGCCTTTTCTTTTAACACCGTTCAGTTCCCGCCTTAATGTAAAAGTCTCTGTTCTTTCCCCACAAAAAGGATTTAAAATTTAATCTGTTTTAAAAAAGAATATCTTGTCAAAAATACCCCCTCCCCCCCCTCTCCTTTTTTAAAACTTAAAAAAACCAGCAGCAAAGCTTCTGATATTATGGTTTCTAGTTAAAGGCGTAGGCCTACAAGTATTGCTGCTTGGTACGAGTATTTTTGAACATAGAATTAACGCCTCATAAACTGGGATATATTATGCTTCCAGCTTATCCAGGTGGTAATCTGAATTTGGACCAAAATAACATTTTCACTGACATTATATAAGGGGTGCCCATTACGGCTGGATCGGCCGATTGCCCGACTCGGTCGCCTGAAATGGAAAACAAACACGCTTGTTTTTTAGGCGACCGAGTCGGGCGATCGGCCCGATCCACCGATCCCTAGGCCCACAGAGATAGTGTGTAGGCTCAGACCGATCCCATCCGTTGTGGGCACCCCGTATTACATCTTATTGATCGGACTTTGACTTTTTGAAAGACATTATTCAAGGTTAACCAAATAAACCACCAATTTCAAATAATAATGTTATCCATTGTTGCTGGAACACTGGGGTCTTTGATGCATTTTTTTTTAAAATACAGAAGCTATCTTTAGTTTGTCCTTCGCCTCATAAATGTTCGATGAAATTTGTGCAGCTGATTTAAGCAACAGGCACAGAAAAGGCTCGCGCTCGCTTATTCCGTCGTTTGCAGTTAACCCTAAAGTTTAACGCCCTACTCAACATTATTGTAAGCCATTTCGAAAGTAGAACGACAGGAGTTCAGGTTGACAGAAACTGTTTCTGAATGTAAGCAAAGATTATTTTGATCCCCATTCAAATCGGAACATCGAACATCGAACATCCGCGTTGCAGGTCAAGGCCATAACCTACTGCGCCACAGAAGACAGTATAGCGTGTTCATTATTTAGTTCCCCTCAACAGAAATGGTTCTAGTTTTGAGCTCCCCCCAAAGTTGTTAGCCTTGAGTTAATGGTCCGAGAACACTATATTTAGACGTATCCTCATGGGAAGATCTCCCATCTCGCCAGCTCTGGGGTTTAGAGGGTTGCCGTGTGGGATCGAAGAGTGCGGCGAAACAATCGACTTGAATTATATCCTAGACTATGCACTGTCATGACCGCCGTTTTCTTTGTTCTCTATAAACAATTGAAACGTGGGTACCATGTGCGATGAAGGACAAAACACAATCTCGCTATAGTTGAGTGCGTATGCGCACCCCCTCCCCCCAACCCCTTTTCCTTCATTTGGTTCCAAATTGAGTCAAATGGTGCATTCCCAAGCCAACCGGAATTATGTCTGAGCGCCCTGTCTTGGATATTATATTACAAGTTAATGAGCAGAGCCAAGTCTGACTCTCTGAAATCCGCCCAACGACGAAAAGAGCGATACTAATTGCACCAATGTTATATCAGCGGGTTTCATGTTGCACCAGAAAATAGCGGGTCCCCTGGAACGGAAGTGGGGTAATAAATGAAACTAGAAAAAAATTATCCTTCAACACAATGCTTGCCTTCATATGGCACGATTGGTAGGTAGTGAAGTTTTCTCATTTGAAATCTGGTGAACCATTTTGAGCAGAATCCTGTCCACATGTTAGAGAACGTTAATCAGCCAATATTGTTGTTTGGTCTCGACCTTATTGTTTTTCCGCTGTGTTGTGGTCACCCCCTACTACCTCGGAATACGAAGGTGGATATGATCCGTCATCGATAGGCGCCGACGGCTGTTCTGGTGACGGGTAACTGGAGGAGGTCGAGGGCGGTGCGAAATGCTGCGGACCCTGAGACATTGCTTGAGGGTTACTCATATATCCCTGAGTGATGGGACCCGAAGGCGGGTAGGCTGGATTGGCTGCGTTCATACCCGGAGGTGGATGAGGAGTCTGATAGTGAGAAGGATGGGGTTGTGGAGGAGGAGGATATGTTTCGACTCCTGGATGAATGCCCCGATGAATGCCACCTTGGTGTATTGCGTTCCTTGGAACGGCTTGTTGCCCGTAGCCTTTAGGATACGGCGCGCCGGAGGTATATGTCGCGAAAGGCGATGGACCAGGCGGTGGTGGGGGGTAGGAAGAATCTCGCACGAGCGGCGACGGCGGGAGATTGCGGCCCCTCCCTCCTCCGCCCTGAGCCCATCTTGAGTCATGTGTTGACCCCCGAGGGGTGTTTGACTTACTGTTTTTGCCAGAGCTCCCACCAGGGGACGAACGACCCCCGGTCCTACTACCGCCGGCAAAGCCCACCAGTGAAGCTCTAGCTCCGATCCTGTTGGGCTTTCGGAAGCCAAAGTTCTTCATCGCTTTTCTTCTGGAGATGATGACCAGGATGATACCGACTACACCTATGGCTACTGACGCAGCAGACATGTTGAAGGACCAGGACAGGGTTGATGACGTCGGGTGCTCCAGGCCGAAGAGAGGGATGCTGGATAAGTGGAAGGCAGCTAGTGCGAGGGAAAGAAAAAGAAGTGTTGGTTAAGCAATATTGCTGATAATCGAAGTTTTATTTGACTAAATACTTTTTATGTCTATTCAAAAACACATTTCTGAGTGGATTATACTGAAAAACATTGATCGAAAGCACTAAAAATGTAAATCTGCATTTTCTAGGGATACTCAAGCTTTGAAATTGACAAAACTTTGGTGGCCATTTTCTTATCAATTTTGCTTCTGACCACCAGGCGACCCCCAACTCCTTCAGTCGCAAACATCACGACCTCTACTCAAGATAGATGAGCATTTTGTTGTCATCAAAAGCAAGGCAAAAAAACATGCTTTAAGATTATATCAATAAGTAAATCCCCAAAAATGACGAGCGCCTGATTCCGGGTACCGTGTCGTGAGGCAGATGGTTAAGAAACCAAAACCAGCGTGTGACTAAAATCAGACGCTAGGTCTATTAATATCCAGTTCACATTGCCAAAAGTTTCGTCAAATCCCTATTTGACATATTTTGGTGCATTCTAGGTCGTCCAGATTTTCTTTCAAGGAGGGGCAAGAGCTACCACTGTTGCATAATTAAATAAATCCTCCAAAATCAAATATTAAAAATTTTTCAAGTCGCGAACAAAGCAATAATTTGATGAAAACATCCAATTCCAAAAGGCTACCAAGCATGACAGGGTCAGATTATTTGTTTGCGAGAGGACAGCGATGAGCCCTAAGTGGCTTCAGGTGTCAAATTTCAAATTTTATCGATTAAGCAAAGCAGAAGTCAATTTGATATAACAAAGGCCAGTGCAATTACGCGACCGGTTCTGATCCGATTTCCACATTTCTTATACAGGTTTTAATTTCACCCCTGTCGATACAACCTATCCGATCTGATCCGATTTGCTCATGCATTTGACAAATAAGCGCCCGGCCGTTCAAACCATTATGATATCATGGTAAAGACACTTACCTCCTAAAGCGTAGCCCACATCAAAGATGCGAGTCTTCCATGACGTTGAGTTATCTTTATTGGAGCAGAAAAAGAAGAAATGGGCGATAGGAGAGACAATGTACAGCACTAGGGCGATGACTTGGAAGGCTTGTGTGGCGATGTGATACGCTGGGGAAAGACATAAGTTCAACGAGTTTTACTCAACTTCGGATGTTTTAGAAAACAAACAAACGAAAGAACAAAATTAGGTTTGTCAATTCAAAACTCCTTCAATGCATTTCTGAAAGTACAGTCAAAGTTGGCCAAGACGGCCACCCATTGTCGAGGAGAAAGGTGGTTGTCTTTGAGTGGTGGACGTCATTGACAGTGTCATTACAATATTAATTTTTTTTTAATGCAAAGGGGTTATGGGGAAAGAGGTCGTTTGTACAGGTAGTGGTCTTAAACAGAAGGCCAGTGGAGAAGGTTCGATTGTACATACAAATACACTGTAACAGAAAAGATACTGACATTTCGACGTCTATGGCTTAACGGTTAGGCTTTTCGCAGAACCAAAGAGTCTACTTAACAAGAGGGTCCACTCCTCTCTTTGAGCCAATTAAAAAAAGTGTCCTCAAAATTTGGTGGCGCCCTCTTCACAAATGCGCACCCTTTGCGAACAGAGTTTCCCTACTTGTTTAAAAAAAATAAAAGTGAAACTAACAAGTTTTTGAATAGATAAGAATTCAAATTTCGGAAGAACGCTTTTTTAAAATGGTTACGCTGACAGAAAACCTCTTCCGGAGGAAAGGGTGACTGTTTTCTTCGTTTAATTTGACTTTAGAATGAAAGGCGAGGGGCCTAAACTAAAACTCCACACTGAAAGAACGCGAACAGCTGATGAACAGCAGTCGATCTGCACACTCAAAGAGGTGCTATTCCTATTCTTCTTCTGGAGAAACGAAAAGAGCTTCAAAACAGACTGCAGCGTCATCTGAAGCAAGGAGTGGATTTCCGGCGGACATTTTTTTGGCTGAGTGGATCATCTTGTTATGTACTATCTTTGGCAGAACACATGAGTTCGATTCCCGAGAGTAGATTTTTTTGTACCACTTATTTAGGTCTTTCTGTTAAGATATTGCATCCCACTCAGCCCAGATTGGTCCTGACAAGCAATATCGAAGCGGCCTGCCTCGTACATGACCTAAAATGTGTCGACGAAGACGTAATTTTTAAGCATTACAGTTCAACAACAACAGCAACAACAACAACAACAACAAAAACAACAACAACAGCAACAGCAACAACAACAACAACAAAAACATAGATTGCATAACTTATATGGCGCTCAGTCCCATACAAGTATAAGCTCTGAGCGTTTTGCATCGATGGCAAACATAATAACTGAGAGTAAAACCTCACACACACAAGAGAAAAAAACGAACAAATTCATATAAATAAAAAAGCCAGTTCAACCACATAAAGAAGAACTTCCTCTGCCATACAGTAATTAATTATTGATAAGGACAGCAATAAAGACACTACTAAATATTATCTGTCGCTATTTGTTCTAAGGTATCGTCTAGACACTTCTCTACCTCAGAATTACAAAGTTCTATCTGACATTTTGGGCTGTTTTGAGTTACTAAGACCATGATATAAAAAACCAAATATTCTATCTGCTCTATCAAAATATTCAAAGAATCGCTTTCGAAAAGCTTGGCACGATGTGAAACTCAAAATCTTTGACGTCAAATTCCTCAAAACTAGGTACTGAGCAGGTAGAACTTTGTAATTCTGAGGCAGCGATTTGTAACAACATATTATTATTTATTCTTTACATATTCTTGTTTCAGCCAGCAAACTGGAGGGGCAGAGACAACAATAACCGGTGTCTGTGTTGTTGTAGTGGTTAGTGGTTAGGCACTTCAGCTTCACATGCAGGAGACCTGAGTTCATTTCCCGTTTGGGGACAGTTTTTATCGAGTATCTCAGTCTTTCTGTTCGAACGGTGTATTCCTCTCAGTCCAGGTTCGCCCTAACAGGCAGGGTCGAAGCCAGTCTCCAAAATGGTCTAAATTGTGTCAATTAGGGCTGTAAAAATACTTCCGTTTTAAAAAATGACAATAGGAAATTTTGGATAGATATATTACGTGTAGATAGATCGATCGATCGATCGATAGATCGATAGATAGATAGATAGATAGATAGATATATACAACGTAAGTTACTCTTTTTTGCCCCGTATCCTGATTTGGTGCCGAACATTGGTAAGTTATAAATAGCATGTGTTGATGTAATAGTTTCTGTTGAAGTGAGCTTGTTTAGAATATCAGAAAAGAGACACTTTTTATTTTTCAAAAAAAAAAATAATAATTTGTATAAATTACACTGATGATGATGATGATGATGCTGATGATGATGAGGATGAAACCCCCCCCCCCCCTAAGTTACCTGGTAAACTGTCTGAAGTGATGGACGAGCAGGAAGCGCCCTCACACTTTTCCCACAAGCCCCAAGACGTGACGTCATCATCGTGCCAGTTGGTCGTGCAAAATCCAAGCAAGAAGAGCAAGGCAGCGAGGAGGATGAAACCGATTCCAGCCCGGAACACCCACAAATATCCTTTGGGTTTGGATTCGGAAGCCATTTTTTGTCTACGTGTCGTTCTTTGAACTGAGGCAGGCTTTACACTCTAATTCACATCTAATTCACTGTTCTATCTCACCGCCCAATAAGACGATGTCTGTTTAACAGTCAGCACAGATAAGTCAAAGATAATATCTTTGTTCTATGCAGTAAGAAATGTCACGCAGCTTTAAGTTACTTTGGCTGAGTGCTAAGGCCTTCAAGAACTTTTCTAATACACAAGCGCTTCTAATATAATGCAACATAAATAAGGGCAAAGTGACCGTTACTATAGTGAAATCGCTTGAACCTTTCTGTCATTGAATTACGAGATAAATAGTTTCACTTTCTGTATTATCTTGAATGGGACGAAAATGATCGGGTTGTAAAGCGCATTGAACGAACTGTGGAGCACATGGGCAGGCGTATTTTTTAAAATAGAACGAGCAACTAGAATGAAGCTTTGTAGCTTTTTCGCGGGAAAGGGAGAAGAATGGTCCTAATTTTTTTCTGCCCTTACTAACGCTCCTCCTTTCTGAGCACAGCCTGTGGTGCTAAATAGAAGTCTGTCCAGGTTTTTCCAGGAATATCAAAGAAACACGCGCAAGCTGATCGATGACAATGTGATTAGGATCGAAATTTAACCGCTCGTCACCGTCAGAAAAACTGCACCTCTCTGCAGGGGAAAAAGTGCTGCTACCGCTCCTTTGAGTAATGCGCTTCCAGTTACGTCTAATATCAGTCCGACCCTCCGCAAGAGTTGGGGTCACAAAATTTCCCATGACGTCATCGTCATGTGACTTTTATTTGCTTGCAGTGCTGGTGTCCCGAGCCACAAGGCTGGACGACACTTGAGTTGAGGGCCTGCAGGAAATCGTTCTGTCTCAGTTGAGGACATCTTCACCGTTTTCCCCCTAGAAATCACTTCAGGCTGGCACTTGCAATATAAACCAGGAGTTCTGGGTCTGAAAACAAAGGCAAAGAGATCGAAACATTTTAAAGCGCTTCGTGAGATTACGAACGACATACGCTTGTGGAGTTAATGGTGAGAAAGAAAACATTAATAATGACGATAAACGCAAACGAAAAAATTGAGCAACATGTGAATTATAAAAAAGCGACTCCTTTTGTGGTGGTAGATCTATTGGTTTAAAAAGAAAAACTGAAATATACACACACGTAAAGATCGCACAACATGTTAAAAAAAGTGCTTCATAAGACCGAGGCTACGGTTGTGGTTTTAATGGTGAAAAAGAAGACAAGTATTAATGTTCACATACGCATTTCTCTTAGTTTTAGTAAGGGTTTTACGGTACTTGGAACACAATTAGATCATATGAGTGAGGACGATTAGAGGTGTTAAAAGAGAGTAACAAACAAGACAAGAAGAAGGAGAGACAAGAGCAATAGATGTTTTATAGGAGAAAAGGAGCAAACCACACCACAGCACCCGCCAAACACCCGCAACGCCAAGTCTGAACAACACCTTTAAAACGCTGCATTACGCAGAGACTTCTCTCTTGGTGGTGACAATAGTAAGAAAGAAGACTGAACTATACACACAGGTAAAGATCGAACATGACAACACGTTAAAACTGCTTCATGAAACAGCGACTACACTTCCAGCGTTATTGGTAAGAAAAGAGACTGTACAAAAGCAAAGATCGAACAGCGCATTAAAAGCGCTTGATGAGACACTGACTAAGCCTACAGGGTATTATTGGTAAGAAAAGAAACTGTATGAAAGCAAAGGTCGAGTAACACGCTAAAAGCGCTTCTTGACACAGCGACTACAATAAAAGTGGTGTTATTTAATTAATTAATTAATTATTTTTTAGTAGAGGTTTTACGGCGCTCGCAACTGCATTAGGTTATATGAGCACCAAGGGGGGGATGTCAACAGAGAAGTCCTTACAGGGAATCAGACTTACTCTGCTCACCTCTCTAGCTTCAACAGCACAAAGTCTGCTTCGACTTTCAAGGCATCCCGGAAATAGCGGGTCACGAGAGTGTGACAAACATACAAAAGAAGTAGAGGAAAATGACGATAGTAAGGTTTGGAAAGAAAAAGCAGCAGTTCCCTGTTGTAGTTCAGGCACAGTTATGAGTGTGACATTTTTGGATCAGCCCATTTACAATTCTATTGTGCATTAGAACGAGAAATGTCACCCCTTTGGGAATGGCCTTAAGACACTTCAGTCAGTATCACCGCCCCGGGGGTTGTGGTGTTATTGGTGAGACAGAGGACTGGAATATACACAAAGGTAAAGATCGAACAACACATTTACGGTGCTTGATGACAAAGTGACTAAACCCGGGGTATTATTGGTAAGGAAGGTGACTGCAACGTACACGTTTGTATTGCTTATTAGGTATAGATAAGATAAGATAAAGTAAGATAAGATAAGATAATACGATAAGATAAGATAAAATGCATCTTTAATGTCCAGGTCCTGGCACATTGGTTTGGTGTTCCACCTCGTACACACACACTCGCACATATATACATACATACACATACACACACATGTACACACACACATAAACACACACACACACACACACACACACACACACACACACACACACACACAAACACACACGCATATTATTGCGTTCTTGTGCTATTAGTGAAAGACTGAGTCATCTTTAATTTACACAGTCAGCACTATGAGATAATCATTTATAACTTTATTTCCACTCCCCTTGACCGCTGACGTTTTAAAAAGCGTCACACATCTTATCTTGAAAGCTGTCAGCTGGGTTTCATTTTTCTTTCTTTCTCACAACGATCGTGCGAGATAAATGGTCAGTGCAGCATTGTGGGAGCCCTATTAAGGGAGCTCAATTCTTGAGTGGACTGTTATCTACAAGTCCCTACGATGCGGATCCGAAATATGAAGCCCTAATCTTACGGTATATGGCTCTCGAGAATGTTTGGTCAACAGAAGAGAGGAAAGGCGAAGGGAGCTGCAGACCAACGTGTGTTTGTATCAGAATGTACGGTTAAGTTTGTCTGGCTGAGTGAGCTTGTCTGGGGTTTACATGCTTGTGTATGTGAGCGCGCGTGTGTGTGTGTGTGTGTGCGTGTGTGCGTGCGTGC